CTCTAATTGTGTGAGTTTTGGAATGGTTATAATTAACATGTTCATATGGGCTTGTGATTTCACTCTCTTTATTCACGTTTCCAAAGTATATTTTAAAAAGTCACCATATCAGGATGTTCTTTTTGTCAAGTAAGTTTTATCGCAATATTTGACCTTGGTATTTCAATAATCCTGCTTACGGCCCTGTCTGGGTGCCCATCTACTGTTCAGCTTATAGTAAATTAAGAATTACTTATGTAACCCTACGGATGAGAGGACTTTGGCGGATGTTTAAAATCCAAATGAACATTTTATTTTAACAAAAAAGTTGAATGTATTTTCTTTGGGATCTTGCGAAAGACCGGGGTACGCGTACCCCCAGTGGTCCGCGTACCCCCAGTGGTCCGCGAGTGCATTGCAAGGGGTTCAGAAAATATTTTATTTTTCAGGTAAAAAAATAAAATAGGGCTGGGATCTGTTCTGTTTTGTGAGGAACCAACTAAAAAAAACAACAACAAAAAAAACAAGCTTTTATTTTTCAATCAAAAAGTCAGTTTTTCTCATATGTTTGAGTTTACCTTCAGCTGTGACACACACCTAAACCAAGCAGAGGAAAAGACTGGATGTAGAGAACAATCTGGGATTAGCTGTTTTTAAACTCCTGATCAAAGCAAGCTCAGATGTCATGATTGATGAAAACAAAGGGAAAAAAAATAATAATGAAGTCATTCTGACTGACTACAATTTGTGTTCTGTATTTTCTTCCCAATCCATCAAGTTTAAATGTGATTATAAGGGAGTTACTCAGAGGAGCTCCAGTTAAATGTTTTTGTTTCCTTACTAACTTCCAGGTGTTGGGAATAATAAAATGCCAAATAATTAAATGCTGAAGTTAAAAAGATGAAGTAAAATACTTTTGATTTTCCACTTTTGGAAAGTCATCAATACTTATGGGGGTACTCGTGGTACGACAAAATTCCCTGAGGGATACACAAGTCAAAAAAGGTTGGGAACCCCTGCTGTATAGTAGTAAAATTAAAGAAGAAAGAAACATGCATGGTTTTCCTAATATTTCCAAACACATGCTTTTAAAAAGTAGGAAGTTAATTTCTATTCAGTCCCCCATAGAATAAAATCCAGTGCCCCCAGCATTTCTATAATATAATCAGTGCATTAATCCAGCTGTTTTGTGATTCTGTCAGAAGTTTGTCAGACATCATTAGTAAACAATTTCAAATCCTAATCACATCTCGCAGAACTCGCAGCTTTGATAAAAGTGAAAAGCTGGTTTCTGCAAGATATTGTTTCAAGATGACTGAATACAACTGGAACTAAACATATACTGCAAAGGTAGCAGAGGGTGAGTACCTCTGCACATAATGATAGATTCATAAGATGCTTTCCCGGTGCAACAAACTAAATCTAGCATCTAATGCTCTAGGTACTTGGGTTTCACTCCTATAATATAATATAATATATTTTTGTTTAAGCTATATTTCATAGATTCTGTCTTTATCATACATTACTATCTTTATCATTTAAATGTTTTAGCAGAGGCAACATCTTCAAAAGCTCCCTGGTTTCATTTTTTTCAGACTTTAAGGGAGCAGGTGGTGTTTTGTTGGTGAAAGAGTTAAGAATTCTGCTGTCAAACATGTTTTCGCCCCTCGCTGATATGGATGTGCTGGAACCGTCTACCCTGAACAAGATCACGGGTGAGGAATCACTCTATTTTCTGGATGATGTTATATATTTACTAATGATTTTGGAGTCATACCTTTTAATGCATAAATCTGCAGACTTCCTTGTGTCAGAGTTGCTAGCGGCTCATCTAATCAAGCAGAAGGAGCTGCATGCTGAAGAGAACTTGTCAGACGGAGAATCGGTAAAAGAGCAGCGAGTTGAGCATCACTGCTACGATTTGGGTGAAGAATACAGAGAGGATGATGCTGCAGAGATGGACAAAAAGAAAGCGGAGATGCAGGCAGAGTGGATTTTACTGCTGCATGCACTTGGTTTGGATGCTTCTTCTCAGTTTGAAGATGTGGAGAATGAGGCAAGCCTGTTAGTTGGATATTAAAAACATTTATAAGATAAAAAAAAGTAATGAAAGGTCAGAGCTTTTTATTTTTTAAATCAGGTGAATTCAAGGTATTCTCGTCTACCGGGTGGAGAGATGACAAACCCCCTTCTGAGCACCAGCTTAAGCTCAGAGCAGTGGGTGAGTTCACATAGATATTTTCCTATTATTTAAATTATCCTGTTTTAGTTTCATAAAAATGTTGTTTTGCTTTGGTTCTTTTCAGGCTGCACTTCTAAAGATCAATCAGACTCTGTCTGTGGATTACCGCTGTCGGCAGCAGATGATGATTAAACGATTTCAGGTCACGCTCGAATCCTTTGCGTGGGGCGAAAAAACAAAGGTAGTCATGTTAAATCTTTTATTCAATGCATTTGCTCTGTTAACAGCCTTTCTGGTCGAAGGAGATTTCTCCTTGTAGATTAATGCACAGCTAAGAAACAAATTCAAAGCACAACATTTATTTGGTAATAGAATTAATTCCCTGCTCATTTTTATTAGGTTTAGATTCTGGCATAAAATATATCTCTTAGTCAGAAAAATAACGCCTAAAATCATGACATTACATTTAAATATCGTCTACAGCATGCTCTTTCTAGGTTTTATTTAATTTATTCTACATATGTGTTTGTTTAAATGAAAAAGGACAATGTATTTACAGAGAAAACATACACTTAGTACAGAAACTAAAATCAGGGATTTTAGTTAGGAGGCTAATTTCCATCCTCCATCCCCTGCCGGGTTAAAGCTGCCACAGACATTTTCTCTCATCTCACTAACCCGTTACTTCCAACCCACCTTCCATCCACCTGTCCTACCCTGTTTGTTAAAAGCACCCCCATAAGATCTATAATGGCCTTTAAACAGGAAGTTATTTTAACCCGATAGCAATCGCACAATGAAATGCATATAAAAACCACAGTAAATAAATATGTGTCTTTATGCGTGATGAAGATGGCTCTGATTGTCCACCATCATTATTTCCAGTGTTTAAGAATGAGCTGAATGTTTGCAGAGCTCTTAAATGGTAGTATGGTGTTCAAGGTTTGAAAAAGCTGCCTGTCCAATTGCAGTTTATTTTCAAAATGGAGAAATGGTCACCTTTTAAACCTACTCTTGTTCTGATTCTTTTTTTAACACATTCTAATGGGATGTGAGCTAATCTATTCAGAAACATTTATACAAGAATTCAAACTTATATTCTGCAAAAAGTAATTATGGTATGTTAGAGTGGTCTGAGTAAAAACCAGAGATAATTAGGAGCTTTTTTTTTTTTTTATTTCTTCTAATTTTCAGAAATGCACAACTGTTTTTTTCCTGGCTAAAATGTAAATGCCCCCAACAATTGATACTGTCACACTTTATTTTGATTATTTAAATCTATTGTCATGTGGCTCAGCGACACCAGCTGATTGGGGAATGTTTGCTCAGGAATCACTGACCAGAGTGTCACAGTCATGAGCAACATGGTAAAATGGTAAATGGCCTGTACTTATATAGTGCCTTTTTTCTAGTCAGGAGACTTGACCAAAGCGCTTTACACTAAATTCATTCACCCATTCACGCACACACTCACACACTGATGGTGGCAAGCTACATTGTAGCCACAGCTGCCCTGGGGCTCACTGACAGAAGCGGGGCTGCCGTACACTGGCGCCCCCGGGCCCTCTGACCACCATCAGTAGACAATGCAGGTGAAGTGTCTTGCCCAAGGACACAACGACAATGAAAGTCAGAGCCGGGGCTTGAACCGTCAGTCCTTCGATTTCAGGGCAAACTCCTACATCCAACGCCACTGTCGCCCTGTCATCTGCAGCATTCGCTGTTTCTTTGGTCCAGAAGTGACATTCTAACCAAAATCACAAAGTTGGGATTAATTCTGGGCCCAAAATATAATAATGATGATTAAATATGTCAAAGTAATTTTCCAATTTTGATTTCCTGTAACGTTCCATTCCATTATAATGACCGAAAGGACAAGATCACTAATACAAGCGGCCGAAATGAGTTTCCTTCGCAGGGTGGCTGGAGGCACCCTCCAAGATCGGGTGAGGAGCTCAGTTACCTGGGAGGAGCTTGGAGTAGAGTCGTTGCTCCTCCACATTGAAAGGAGCCAGCTGAGGTGGTTCGGGCATTTCTTAAGGATGCCTCCTGGTTCCAGGCATGTCCCATTGGGAGGAGGCCTCGTTGAAGGCCCAGGACACGCTGGAGGGACTATGTCTCTTAGCCGGCCTGCAGTCGCCTCGGGGTCCCCCAAGAGGAGCTGGAGGAAGTGTGCATCTTTTGCTTAGACTGCTGCCTCTGAGACCTGGCCCGGATAAGCAGAAGAAAAAGGATGGATGGATGATTTCCTATACTTTAATATAACAAACATTTGGTCCTATATTATTATTATTATTTATTTATTTACTATAAAAATGATCTGTTAATCCTTGTAGATCAGACACTTTTAAGGGTCTTCAGCAATGCATTTTAAAAGGAGGGCAACAAATGCATTGCATTAATTCATCAACTAGATTGTCCATCATGTTTCCTAAAATAGAGATTTTTATTTACTTCAGGCAACAGTATATACATAAAAACACGTTATTTAAAAGGCATATCCAAAAGAACAGCATTACTCAAAACAACACAAACCAAAATAATGATCATATTTAACACACCTAAAAGAGTTCCATAAAAGACATTAAAAAGTGAATAAATACTCTTTTTTTCTATTTTATTAATCTAATTTACAATGTCTATGCTAGGCAACAATTTGGGTCACTCTTCCTTATAGTGCCTATATGTTGAGTGTTGATTGCAGCGCCACTGTGTGGTCAATCTCAGAAACCAACAGTACATGCATTAAAACAAGACAAAATGTTTTATTTAATTCAGTAATTGAATAAAAAAGTCAAACCACATGTGTTTGCCAACTTAATATATTCAGATTGATGTGTTTCAAGCATTACTTTCTATTAAATATGATGACAATTGTTAAAAGCTAAGTTAAAATTCAGTTTCTCAGAACATAAAAGAAAATAAAAACAATAAAAAAGGATTTGAACAGAAACCTATTCAGACATTTATGACTTCCACAATAATGAGTAAATTCTGAGTGCTGTATCCAAGCCTAAAAATGAAAAGTTTAATGTAAAGAAAACATGTTGGATAACTATTGCCTTGAGAGAAAAATCCTAAAAAAAAGTCCCTTTTAAAAATCTGAAGAGCTTTCATAAGGCGTGAGCTGATACTTCAACACGCACACACAGATGCAACCTTGCACACAAGCTGCAGATGTCAGAATCCTCATCTTAATCAGCTGCTAGCGATAGGATCAGAATTACAGGGGTCCAAAGTTCCCTTTTTGGAGGAAATTTAATTCACTGTTTAAAAAAGGGTCTAAGAGTTTGAAGAAAGAGCAGAGAGTCACAGGTTTTAGCAGGTGGAGGTCAAGCAGGATTGGTTCCCCGTGTTTCATCTTGTCTAAGGTGAGAGCAGACATTTACTCTGACATTTTAGAGAATGTCGCAGTTCTCCTAGTCAACGTGTTATAGCAATTTGCTACCTGCCCACATCCCTGTGGTTGAATGACGAACAAAAAGGCCCTGACCTACAGCCAAAAGACAAT